TCGATCAAGATCAAAAGTGAAATTTTCTCATTTGACTTTGAGGCTAGAGAGCTGTGAGGATTATCACTTTGCTTGCAAAATGATCGACTTGCCTTAGTTCGATATGTTAAGATCGACGACAAATACTGCTCACAAGTCATTACCTAACCGGCTAACCATCACACTCTTCTATTTTTTTTAAAGGAGAAGAGGGGGATACCCACTTTAATTTATTCAAAGCTTGTTAGTTCAAATTACAAGTATGCCTCCAGGCAGAACACCTGCAATATCATCCTTTATTAGATCTATTACAAAATCAGAGGGTTTTTTTAATACATGCATTCCTTTGGGGAAGTGGGGGTTTTTTAATACATGCATTCCTTTGGGGAAGTGCTTTGCTTGTTTAGCTATGACATTCGCAACACCGTTTTGTTCACGAGCTATCTTTACTACTTGCCAAGATTCAAATCTTCGCAACTCCTTTTTGCATGCTTCCATATATATATATATATATATATATATATATATATAAGATTCTTTAATTATGGAGCCTTGGCTCCTAAATTAAGTAGCCTGCCCATCCGCTTGTCCAGCAGATGGGCATTGCAATTGAAATTATGGAGCCTTGAGCTTCTTTTTATAGGGGCCTCAAGGCTCCATTCCCTACTTCTTTCACCGATGTGGGATACGTGGGGAAAACAAATATAAATATAAATATAAATATAAATATGTATTTTTATTATAATATATGGAGTAATAATAATAATAATAATAATAATAATAATAATTATTATTATTATTATTAATATTATTATTATTATTGTTGTTATTATTCTCTCTCTCTCACACACACACATATACATGTATATAAATATAAATATAAATAAATTATATATATATATATATATATATATATATATATATAATTTAGTATATCATAATCATATTAATTATTATTATTATTATTATTATTATTATTATTATTATTAAGGCTATTTCTGTTTTTAAAATCTATTCCATTTCTATTCCTTTAACTAACGAAACACTTGAATACAATTACTAAAGTCTATTCCTTCAATGAACTAAACAATAAAATACAATTTCTATTCTATTCGTTATCTATTTCATTCTCTGTGAAATAACATTCTTATTCTCTCTAAATTCATTTCATGAACCAAATATACTGTTAATCTTCGAGAGACAAAACCTGGCACTATGAAATTTTAATGTATTAGTGTGCTCAAAATTTTAACTAGTGCATCCAAACAATATTTGATGTGTATGCATATATGATATTATGTATTTTCTTTTTATTAAAATGATGATATTACAATATTATTTTGTATTTGTTGGGATAATCACGTTAACAGCCCCCATCTGGTTTCTAAGACGGGATGGGGCGGTCTATTTTATGTCCGTACTTTGGCGAGTTTTTTAGTTCGCCCCGCTATATGATAGATTTTGACAAAACTCGAGCAATCCTGTCTCGCTAGTTCATTTCAATAGCTCTATTTATAGTCTACACTCTACATAGCTATGCGGACCATGATTCACACAATAATTTGTAATATTTTCATCAGCCTTACCAAACATTTATAGCTTTCAATTAACTGGCCCAAATTTTGACCCATCCCCGCAGTTTTGGGCCTTGACCCAGGCCCATCAAACTATATGGAATCTTCCTTTATTTCATTCTCAAAAAATTTAAAATTTATCTTTATCTTTATCTAAACATATTAGCATTTTATTTTTATTTTATTTTTTTCATATAAGCAAATTAGACGGGTTATTTGTTAGAAGTTTGCTAAAAATGTTAGATGAAAAATAATTGAAAGTATAATGGTCTAGATGGACCATATTTTAATTCATAAAATTAGATGAATAATCAATATTAATACATAGATCTATTTTACCCTTCTTCCGTTTTCTAACTATTGTTGCCAAATACATGCATCCATCCTATATTTTATTATCTTCTAAAATGGTAATAATATATAGAAGTTATTATTGCAAAGGAAGATGCCATTTGTAAAGCAAACAAAAGGGATTCTCATTCCAAGTTCGGAACAAACCGACAACAACGTTGATTGCAACGCCATTCAAGAATATATATATATATATGTTAGACAATAAATTTAGACTAACATGAACTGTAGTAACGAGTAACCTGCCTCGTTACAGCGGAAGCTTTAGGATCGTCCGAATATTTTCAGTCATAGTCGTCGGTATTGCCACAAGATGGTAAATCTACAGAATAAAGGCTAGTATTTTGTCAACCACTTCTCTCCCGAATACTCGATGGTGCGTGTATAATGAACACGGGAGTTGTGGGAGGACTGTTTTGTTGAGAAGCCTACATCCCATCAACGTAGGGAGATATTCAGTTAAAGCTTAACTGAATATCCTGAGTTGCCTAACATATTAAGCCACTAACTGACTTAATCTTCCACTTGCACCACAACCACTTAATTAATACAATATATTATATTAGGGAAAATACTTACGATATATATATATATATATATATATATATATATATATATATATATATATATATATCTACTATACTAATAAGAGCCCAAGAGAGTTAGGCCTATAATGGGTAGAAAAAATGGCGGTCACAGATTTTAATTAAATGAATGGCTCAGATTGATTAAAAGATTGATCAGATTTAAATTTTACACTAAAATTTCCTAAAATACCCACACAACGTTACTAATTCCGTTAAAATTTTAAGAATTGCCGTTAGTTCACCGTTAACTTACTCATTGATTTCAATAAAAAAAAAAAAGGTCTTAGGTTCGAACCTCATCCCAATCAAAGTTGGCATAATTAGTACTCTATTTTACTCTTATTAAATTATATATAAATAATAATTTAGTAGTTACAACAAAAAATAATACATATGCATTTCTTTAATTTAGAATTATGTGTCCACAATGCCTTTATTCAAAAAAAAAATTATTCATTATCAATAAATTAAAATAATTTAGTAGTTACAACAAAAAATAATACATATGCATTTCTTTAATTTAGAATTATGTGTCCACAATGCCTTTATTCAAAAAAAAAATTATTCATTATCAATAAATTAAATAAGAGAAATAATTTTATTAGTTATATTGTCTTTATTTTTCTTCAATATAAAAATTCTTTATATTCAAATTTATTGATTGATTATATTCGCTACATTATCTTTACAGTGTCTTTATTCAGTGAAAAAAAAATTATTAATTATCAATAAATTAATTAAAAGAAATATTTTCATTAGTTATATTGTCTTTATTTTTCTCAAATGTAAAAATTTTTACATTCAAATTCATCAATTGATTATATTCACTACATTATCTATTATCTTTTTTTGTGCATTATTTTTCTAATTAAATATCAAAGTTATAATACAAAATAATGCTATATATTTATTTACCAAGTATTTTATTAATACCATGAAAAAATTTAAAAAATATAATTAATAAAGCCAACCATATTAACTACTTGAGAGATTTTGCGACAAAGAGAGTATTCAAATCACACAACAAATTGAAGTGAGAACTACCTCGTAATGTCCTTGTTTGACAATCAGCAGTTAGCGGTTAGCGTTAGCGGATTTGACCAGCGAATTTATTTTATTATTAACATTGGGTAGAAAAAATGACCGCCAAATTATTAAATCAAATGAATGGTTCATATTGCTCAGGTTTTAATTTTCCCTTAAGATTTCCTAATTTATCCTTAATGAATATGATTATCGTTAACTTTTCCGTTAAATATTATCTTTTTTTTGTGTACTATTTTTCAATTAAATATCAAAGTTATAAAACAAAGTAATGCTATATATTTATTTACTAAGTATTTTATTAATACCATGAAAAAAATAAAAAATATATATAATTAATAAAGTCAATCATATTAACTACTTGAGTGATTTGTTACAAAGAGAGTATTCAAATCACACAACAAATTGAAGTGAGAACTACCTCGCAATGTCCACAATCAGCAGTTAGCGGTTAGCGTTAGCGGATTATATTAGCGGATTTGAACAGCGAATTATATCAACAATTGGTAAAAAAATATTTGAAAAAATTAACTGTTTAGGTTAACATGTAAAATAACCTAAAAGTATACATAATAATAATAATAATAATAATAATAATAATAATAATAATAATAATAATAATTGTTTAAAAAAAAATATATAATTAACCCAATCATATTAACTACTTAGGGGATTTATTATATAAAAAAAGAGTATTCAAATCACACAACAAATTGAAGTGGTAAACTACCTTGCAATGTCCTTGTTTGGCAATAAGTAGTTAGCTCTTCAATATTAGTATATATTTAATATTTTATGCCCTAATTTTTATTTGCTCTCCCTTATGTCCCATATTTGGTTTCAACCATACCTATACAATTATTTTATTGACAATTAAAATCAATCTTGACTATATTATCTTGCATTTGTAAACTTAGAATTACCTATTTAAATATGCAAATTCAAAATTCAATTATCTATGCATGAACAATTCAATATTATCTTGCTTTGATATACTTTAAAGTATGTATTTAAAAAAAAAACATTGGACATTATACTAATCGCGCAATGCGCCTAAAAAACTAGTATATATATATATAAAGATTAATCCATTCTGCCTTAGCAATCGCCATATGGAATTGCCGCCCAAGCATTTATACTTATTTCATATTCTCAAATTTTTTTTTTTTTGTTTTTGTTTTTGTTTAAGTAATTAAGTCCCCTCAACTTTCATGGTCCGGACAAGCTTTCTATGATTTTGTCATAAATGAAAACGTACGTAGCAGTCTATCGTTTTCCTCGTTAATAACCTAGTAACCAAAGTACAAGAACTTACCTAGTTCTTGGTTTGTGGGCTCAAAATTGTGAAGTTTTGATTCCAAACATCGAACGAACTATGAAGTTTTTGAGATCAAGATTCATAATTGGTTCATCGGAACATTGGTTCTGCTTCGTTCTTCTTCTCTTGATCCTCCCTGCATCTAACTCCATTTCCTTCGACTTCAAAAGCTTCCAACCAAACATGGACGGCATGGTTTTCCAGGGAGATGCATACCCGGCAAATGGCGCCATCCAGGTGACGAGGAATCAGCGCGACGGCAACCTTACAAGAAGCGTCGGCCGCGCCTCGTACGCGCTGCCCGTACGCATTTGGGACCGAAAATCACGGGAGCTGTCGGATTTCACTACCCATTTCTCCTTCACCATCAACGCGCTTAATTCGTCATCGTATGGCGACGGGCTGGCCTTCTTCCTTGCACCCTTCCACGCCGGAATCCCTCCGGATTCCTCTGCGGGATACCTTGGTCTGTTTAGGAACACAACCCAAAGTCCTGATCCGAATCCAGCCAAGAACCAAATTGTGGCGGTTGAGTTCGATACGTTTAAGGATGTCTGGGATCCTAGCTCCGACCACGTTGGCATAAATATCAATTCTATAGAGTCTGTAAAACATGTTAATTGGAGAAACAGTATCAAGACCGGGGCAGTGGCCAATGCCTGGGTGACATATAACTCTGTCACAAAAAATCTCAGTGTTTTCCTCACTTATGCTAACAGTCCTAGTTTCTCATCAGGGAATTCCACGGTGTCTTACGTCGTTGATCTGAGAAAAGTGTTGCCGGAAATGGTCCAGATTGGTTTCTCAGCCGCCACGGGAGAATGGATCGAACTCCACACCATCTTATCATGGAGTTTTACCTCTTCCCTGGATACCAAGAAACCCAAGAAACTTCTGCCCATCATCCTATCTGTTGGCATAGTTCTCTTCGTCTCTATCTTAGGGTTCCTTTTGTTCATCAGGTGGAGAAAACTGAAAGCTGCAAGAAGAAAGAACTTAGTGTTTGGGGACGCATCCATAGAAGAGGACTTTCAGAAAGGGGCGGGGCCGAAGCGGTTCACTTTCTGGGAACTCAGCCGCGCAACAAACCATTTCTCCGAGGAAGGGAAGCTCGGAGAGGGCGGATTCGGGGGAGTTTACAAGGGAGTTTTAAGCGAAAAGAGAATAGAAGTGGCCGTGAAGCGAGTCTCCAGAGGATCAAAGCAGGGGAAGAAAGAATACGTATCAGAAGTTCGAGTTATCAGCCGGCTGAGACACCGGAATCTGGTTCAACTCCTGGGTTGGTGCCATGAAAAGGGAGAGTTTCTTCTTGTGTACGAGTACATGGCTAATGGCAGCCTCGATTCTCATCTGTTTGGGAAGAAACCCGGGCTAAAATGGGGGGTTAGGTATAAAATCGCCCAGGGTTTGGGATCAGCTTTGCTATATTTGCAGGAGGAATGGGAACAGTGCGTGGTGCATAGAGACATTAAGTCCAGTAATGTAATGTTGGACTCAAATTACAACGTGAAATTGGGGGATTTCGGGTTAGCCAGGCTTGTAGATCATGAACTGGGATCCCAGACAACCGTCCTGGCCGGAACCATGGGGTACCTAGCGCCGGAATGCGTGACAACCGGGAAAGCGAGTAAAGAATCCGACGTGTATAGCTTCGGGGTGGTGGCGCTTGAGATCGCGTGCGGGAGGAGGCCGGTGGAGCCGAAGGCGGAGCCGCCGGGGAAGGTGAGGCTGGTGGAGTGGGTGTGGGACCTGTACGGGGAAGGGAGGGTTCTGGAAGCTGCGGATGAAGGGTTAAATAAGGAGTTTGATGAGAAAGAAATGGAGTGTTTAATGGTGGTTGGGCTATGGTGTTGCCACCCTGATCACACGCTCCGGCCGTCGATAAAGCAGGTCATCAATGCTCTGTGTTTTGAAGCTCCGTTGCCGGAACTCCCGGCGAAGCTGCCCGTGGCTATGTATTTTGCGCCGCCGATGAGTATGTGCCGGTTTTCGTATACGTCGTCGGCCGATGATCAGACGGATTATTCATGGAGGTATACCACTCGTTGTTCGTGTAGCAATGGCTGTAATGCATCGGCAATTCTTGCTTCTTCCAAAGCTCTCTTGACATCGCGGGATGCCGGCGCTGTGCATACGCACAAAACTATGATGTTGTAATTTTATTTTTTTTCTAATGCTTTTTGTTCAATAATAAATTGAACTTCATTTATAACTAACCGATAAATATTTTAGAGTGTTTGGTAAATAGTTGTTAGCTGTTTAGATTAGTGAATTTAATTAGTTAATTGTATTAATTTATTATAAAAAATATTTAATAAATTAACTGTTAATTGATAGCTAATTGCCTAATTACATGTAAAATAATTTCATAAAAAGCTTATTGGAAAAACTTCCTTTTTTGAGTAATATTTTTTAAATTTTAACATTTTGAAGTAATAAGTTATTGCAAAAAGCTAATTAATCAAACACTCATATTGATTATTTAATCAAGTCAAACAACTAATAGTGATCAAATAAGTTAGAATTAACTTATAAACTAACTATGTTACTGGTTTTAAAAAAAAAGAAAAAAAACTATGTTACTAAAGAGTAGGGCTGTTAACGAACCGAACATAAATGAACACATATGTTGTTCGTGTTCATTTGTTAAGAATTTTGAAGTGTTCGTATTCATTTGTTAAGAATTTTGAAGTGTTCGTATTCATTTGTTAAGAATTTTGGAGTGTTCGTGTTCATTTGTTAACAATTTTGGAGTGTTCGTGTTCGTTTGTTAAGGTTTTTGAAAATCATGTTCGTGTTCATTTGTTAAGCGTTCATTAGTGTTCGTTTTCGCGAACACGTTCACGAACGTGTTCATTTACGTTAACGAACATGAAGATGTTCACGAACGTGTTCGTTAACGTTAACAAACACGTTCACAAACATGTTCGTTAACAAGCCCGTTCACAAACATGTTGGTTTACATTCATGAACACTTTCGTGAACCTTTAATAACCAAACACCTGTACATGTTCATGATCACAATTCGTTTGTGAACAACAAATAATCTACGTTCAAGAAATAATCAATGTTCATTATCACAATATAATCTATGTATATATATGTTTGTGAACATTATTAAACGAACACTAAACGAGCTTGTTCACGAACATTATTAAACGAACACAAACGAGCTTGCTCACAATTTCTTAGCAAACGAGCATACAACTATTCAAGCTCTGTTCGTTTATTAATCGAGCTCTAAATTTTGTTAAGAGTAAATACCCAAAATGGTCCCTCGACTATAGCTAAATTCACAAATTGGTCCTCGACTTTTAATTTCAACCAATTAAGTCCTTAACTTTGTAATTTTAACACGATTTGATCCTCCGTCTATTTGACCGTGATCTCTGAGGATATATATGTAATTTCATGGTCCATCGTCGGTTTTTTAAGGTTCCGGTTACATTTCCAGACCGCACTGTTATATTTGAATCCACTGTCGAAAGCAATATGCCAAATCCTGTCGTCTTTCTTCATCCTCCCGTTGGATTCAATGTAGTTAAGTTCGTACCAGACCGAAAAAGGCGACCTGTTTTCGAACCACAATCTACCTAGTCCACGTGCTCCGAAGAGAGTTGCAGGTTCTTCTGGAGATTGTCGATGGCGGCGTGGCCACCGGCGTTGATGCAGAAGTGTTCCAAAGCTTGTTTGATGTCTGGAATGTAGGGTTTCCATTTGTGATTGAAGATTTTCCGACCGACGATAGACTATGAAATTACATATATATTCTCAAAGATCACGATCAACAAACGGTTAAATAGACGGATGACTAAATCGTGTTAAAATTGCAAAGTTAAGGACTTAATTGGTTGAATTGAAAGTCAAGGACCAATTTGTGAATTTAGCTATAGTCGAGGGACCATTTTGAGTATTTACTCTTTTGTTAATTAATGATTCGTTTACCTTAACAAACAAAAATAAATGAACACTTATCGAACACAAACACGAGTAATTTATCAAAAGCTCTGTTCGCTAACACCCCTACTAAAGAGGGCCTTTGTCAACCATATCGCATCTTTTACATTGGTATTAGTAACTATGACTCTATAAGTATAATTATAATAATATTAATAATATTAATATTTTACAACCCAACTAAGTATGGAAATTATTGTGTGGACAACGGTCCAAAATATTGTCATAGATAAAAATCATGTATATTATGTGTTAAAATAATGTACATTATGTGTTAAATTAATGTATATTATGTGTTAGAATAATGTATATTACGTGTTAGAATAATAAAATATCTGGGGTAATATAATGTACATTGTGTTTTAAAATAATGTACATTATGAGTTATAAAAATGTATGTTGTAACCGGACACACGAAAAAATAAAATTAAGAAAAACGATGTCATTTTAAAACCGTGATTCACACAATTGTATGTGTGGACCATAACTATTGACTAAGTATATATAGGCAAATTATGTTGTGGACCCGTGTCCACCATGTGCATGGTGGACACGCTGTACATTCATAATTTCTATACTGTAAATTCATAATTTCTAAACTGTAGATTCATAAAATTTATAATGTAGATTCATAATTTTTATACTGTACATTCATAGTTTCTGTACTGTAGATTCATAATTTCAGTAATGTAGATTCATAATTTCTAAACTGTATAGTTATCAAATTATGAATCTACAGTACATAAATTATGAATGTGCAGTATAGAAATTATGAATCTACAGTACATAAATTATAAATGTGCACTATAGAAATTATGAATCTACAGTACAAAAATTATGAATGTGCAGTATAGAAATTATGAATCTACATTATAAATTTTATGAATCTACAATATAGAAATTATGAATGCATAGCGTGTCCACCATACACATGATGGACACGGGTCCAAGGCATAACGCTCCGTATATATAGAAGCCTACAAATCACATTTGGATTAATTGTGAATTTGTTTAAGGGCTTTATTTTGGGTTTGATCTGTGATCTATTCTTGAGTTGCTTGACTTTTCTTTGGCAAATTATGTTGTGGATTCGGGTCCACCTTACAAGATAAATTCGGATCTAAAATGACATCGTTTTGCTTTGACACCGTTTAAATTATAAAAAAAATGCTTCATTTCTTGTCGTTTTTTTTAGAAATCTTTCCTTTATATTCACAATTTTTGAACTCTATATTCACAATTTGAGAACTTTATATTCACAATTTTAGAACTGAATATTCACAATTTTAGATCTTAATATACAAAATTACAGAACTCAATATTCACAAGTGTAGAACTCAATTTTCACAATTTTAGAACTCTATATTCACAATTTTAAATCTCAATTTACAAAATTACAGAAATTAATTAATATTCACAATTGCAGAACTCTATATTTACAATTTTTGAACACTATATTCACAATTATATCAACATAATTTTTGAATCTATATTTACAAATTTTGAACTCTATATTCACAAAAAAATATCATTAATTGAAGAAATGGTGCCACTAATAACATCGTTATTCCAGACACGCAAAGCTGCGTTGTTTTGGACATGGATCCATGGCATAACAATTGCTTTTCTTCTAGTACCATCTTTGTTTATTTGTTTAATTTTTTTCCGTTTTCTTTTAGATAGTACAATATTTTATACTAATGTATTCTTAAAAGAGGCCTTTCATGATATATCAAATTTCTCATAAAACCAAAATAGATATTAGGCAGGGTAATCTCATCACTATGATAAGATCCCCACGCGTGTAATCATAAGATCACGAATTTAAATTGTTGCCTCTTAATGGCCTGTTAATACTCAATATACGATGCAGATGACTCCTTCTGCCTAAATTAATAGTTGAAAATTAATTTTTATAATTTTAATGATTTGTTAGTGTGTTTAGATATACTTGGTCGTTTTTTGAGTCCAATGCACTCTCAAGCATTCCCGTGTGCATTATCACATATCAACACTTAGTGCCACAGACTAGTATTTGGTGATGCACCATAGACCAGCCTGTAGTGCATTACAACCCACTACTAAATGTACCATATACCATCACTTAATACACCCCAAAAATATACTTAATACAAAAAATTATCAAAATGTCACCATATTTTTTCCTCTTTTTAAAATTGATTTTTACTAGTTGATATAAACTCATCCTGGTTTTGATATATCCACACGTTCGCATGGAATGAGACTATTGCACCTGAATCGATAAATTATATATGCATATTGCAATTAATAATTAATAATATGTTCCTAAGTCCTAACTACCAAACGTCCTCTAAAAATAAATACTCAATACGTACCTTGTTAATAATATGAAATTAAATCTAATGTACGTGGGCAAAAATAGATCTAAATATACGGTAAAATGTAGTCATATACTCACTTATCATGTTTAAATCATATTGAAGCCTCAACGTTAAAAGGAGTTACAAATTAAATTTGTAACAGCCAACTTTAATTTTGCACATAAATGGCTAATTTAATTTTGTAACACCCAAACTCCTATATAAATCTATTTATTTATCGTATTGAAGTGCCATATATACTTTTCCTTCTTCTGAGATTTTTTTCTTAGTTGCATTTCTTGTCAAGACATACAATGTTCCCGACCTTCCATTGATATAAACATCCCATCTTAAAATATGTGAGACAATGTTCAATTCATTGTACACTGAATCTATAATGCTCAATTTGACTAAATTGATCATTATATATATTTTGGGAAGGAAATGTTTTGATGACTCCATGCCAACACTTCGAAGAGAAGCAAATGTGTTTTAAGGGAACTGTACGTGTATAGTTTTCAGTTCTCGTCAATTTTTTTTAGTTCACGTTGGTAGCAAGTTCGATGGTGATGATGTCACACCACTACTTGTACCGCAACAAACCCATTGTAAAATTGAAACCCATGAGGGTGCAGGTGATGGTGCATAGCTTTTCAACTGAGACACTCTTTCATGAACAAGTGGCGATCGGTTATAATCTATTGAAGAATTCAAGAAAAGAAATATGTTGCAGAGTACCGGGGTAATGACATCTTTGGAGGTGATCGAATACTAATTTTCCAACCTGCCGGGACAAAGATCATTGCATTGGCACTACAACGTATGCTTCTAATTTCCTATAAAAGTAAATTATTAGTCAAACAAATATCAAATTGAATTTTGAATTAATAGTTGTTGATTATAGTTACTTCTTATATATCGGTTAGTTCTCCAAATTCTCCCCACATGTAAAATGCAGGCTGCATCCCAACTCTGCACAAAATTGGGAGTTGGCCAAAGTTTGGCTATGCTCAACGACCAAAACGGCTTTGAAATGTCAAGATTAATCCAATTTGACCAATAGGATTGACCATACAAGCTTACATATACAATTAGTTGATAAGAATATCAAATATCTTGTATATAATAGTATAATTTTCTTATGAATCATTCTTATTTTCTTTTAATAAATATTTAATCCGATAGAAAAAAAAAAAAGATTAGTCATTAATTAATATTCAAGTTAGGGATAAAACAGGATTCTTAACCAGAGATCAGAGCCACCTTTTACTTTTTCCTACTGAACCAGTGAGTTAAATCTGTGAGCTAAACACCTTTTACAGCCCTAGGTATAAAAACACAACATTTTCTGGAATAGTATTATCTATATATTTCCCCGCAAAGTTCAACACTAAATACCTAAATAATACCTAATTAATTAAAAGTCAGTAGTCCTGTATTGTTTAGGAATACACACAGTTTAAATTATAAATAAAAAAGGATTAATGTTAAACCATGTTCTTAATGGATTAGGACCAACTCTATCACAAAACCTATAAATAGAACTCTTTTTTCGATCTGTTCAACCTTTGCTCACAATACATTACATATTTTCTCCAACGCCTAAAGCTCTGAGGATACGTAATTACGTATAGTACGTAGTACCCTGGCCTGCCTCTTTCTTTTGCTATTCTTATTCCTTTATTTTCAATCCTCTTTCCTTTCCTAAGTTGTTTATTGTACTATGTAGTAATATATGTCGAATGTTGTCCAGGTCACCTTTTCTTGTTTAGGTTGTTGTGCATGTGTGGTAAAGATGGCAAGCAAGACTGGAGCAGATGTTCGGTTATGGCGGTTCTCTATTGTTGTTTACTACCTCTTGCTCTTTGCTTCTTCTGTTAACGCTGCTAGGTACGTACTTTGGGTTTTGTTTAATTTTCACTATTACTTTCAAGTTCGACTCTCAATAAAAGAGCCCAATTAGCCTTTTTGATTTGAGTAAGGCCGATATTGATAATTTAATTAGGTTACTTTATCTCCTTATGGTCATTTGTGGGTTAGGATCATAAGACCAGGTTTATGTAGTGTACACCTTTAGCTGGTGGTTACGGTTTCCCGTGATAAAAAAATACCTCAAACAAGTTTTTAGTTTGTTTGGTTAATGAAAACATGTTTGTGTTTGATGTAATATAATCCTTTGAACTTGCAGGTCAACTCCGGGAAGCGACAGTCAAGAGATGAAACAATCAACCCCGTTGAGACTACAAATCACAGATACACACGTAAACTAAACTCCATGGACTTTAATCTGAGAATATATTAGTAACAATAATTAGCCCAATAATTTTTTTTTTTTTTTAAATTTTATTGTCTGATAAGAATAAGAGAATATTTAACACATTACATTTAATATTTACAGGTGGTGATGGAGAATAACTTCATCACAGTCACGTTATCCAATCCAGCTGGAGGAATTGAAGGGATTAAGTATCGAGGAATTAGAAATGTACTGGAATATGGTCTTAGAGAAACAAATAGAGGGTAAGTAAATACACTGTAAGCAAATACACTTTACACTTAATTAATATTTCAAATGTTAACGTTACATCCATACAGGTATTGGGATATCGTGTGGAGCAGGCCAGGGATAAGCACGGGCAACTTTGATAGGTAGGCTCTTCCAGTCTTCCCTACATCAATTTGTTAATTGCTACTCCTTTAGCCTATTATATATGTATATATAGTTTGGTTAACGAGATCGCTTGACCGAAGTTATTTTTAAATAAAATTTTCAGATACATTCATCTTAGAACCTTTTGCATGCATGCAGGCTTCCAGGAACACAGTTCAGTGTAATAACAGCAGACGAGAACCAAATTGAAGTCTCCTTTACGAAGACTTATAATCCAAATGATTCTTCAAGTGTTCCTATGGACTTTGATAAGAGGTCTTTATTAATTTGATTAAACTTCAAAACCTGCAGTCAACTTTTTATATGTGCTTTGAAGCCTTGAATTTGTATAATATATCCCTAAATATTGCAGATATGTAATGCTGCCTGGCAGCTCTGGGTTCTACACCTACGCCATATACAATCATCCTGAAGGGTGGCCTGATGTAGATATCGGTGAAACTCGACTTGCTGTCAAACTGCAAAGAAAACTGTAAGCTAAATAGCTTATGCTTCAATATTTTGTGTTTTTCAAGGTTTTTTTTTTTTAATTTTTTTTTTATTTGATAATCTAAGTATTTGGTTAATTTCATATAGGTTCAACTATATGGCAATATCAGATGACATACAGAGAGTGATGCCCAGTGACAGTGATCGATCGGCTGGGCACCCTCTTGACTACAAAGAAGCTGTTTTACTAACCAAACCATCCAATCCTAGCTTGAAAGGAGAGGTAATTAACTATCTAAGCTAGTTTCCTAATTCCCTTCTTTGGGTGTTTGATAAATAGTTGTTAGTTGATTGAGTTGCTGTTTGAATTTTAGCGTTTTGAAGCAATAAGCTGTTACAAAAAGCTATTTAATCAAACCATATTGATTTTTAACCAAATCAAACAGTTAATAGTGATCAGCCAAAATTGACTGATAAGCTGACTATATTACTAAATAGGGCCATTGTATTTTATGAAATTCTTGGCTTAGTTGTGTTGCTTGGACATTGATTTAGGTGGACGACAAATACCAATACTCCTTAGAAAACAAGGATACTAAGGTACACGGGTGGGTTTGTCCCAAGCCACATGTTGGGTTTTGGATCATCACGGGAGGGGATGAGTTCCGATCAGGAGGACCAATAAAACAAGACCTCACTTCGCATGTCGGTCCGACTGCCTTATCGGTATGTAACTTTTCCTTGCTATATATATCTTGAAACACAAGCACTTGTAAATTGTAAATTTGTAACATGGCTCATGATGTTACCTCTGCTGCTCAGATATTCTTCAGTGGTCATTATGCTGGTAACGATTTTAGTCTTAGCTTGCGAAATGGTGAAGCCTGGAAAAAGGTTTTTGGCCCAGTTTTTATTTATCTAAACTCTGATCAAGGCACTGACCCAAAAAGTCTCTGGGAAAATGCCAAACAACAGGTAATTAATCTAACAGGATATAATCTATGTTTATAAAGTCATAATTTTTAGTGTGAGATGGATGATTACTAAGGGCATATATTATATTTCTTTCCCCTCAGATGGTTTTAGAAACTAAAAGTTGGCCTTATGATTTCCCAAAGTCTGAAGACTATCCCAGTGCCAGTCAACGGGGCACAGTTTCAGGCCAACTACTAATCCGTGATAGGTGATTTTTCAAATTTTCTTGAATTAATTCTCATATTTTCTTTGTTTACAAAATAAATCCCAGAGAATTTAATGGATTTATAATGGTCACCCTTAGGTATCTGAGTCAAGAACTTATGCCAGCAAAATCTGCATATGTGGGTCTGGCTCCACCAGGACTTGCTGGATCTTGGCAAGAAGATGTCAAGGTTTCACACTCTTACTTTATAATTTTTTTTTTTTTTTAATCTAAAATTGAACTTTCAGTACATAAATAACGAACCTTTGGTATATTAAAAATGAACATTTATCAGTGGTTCATGCATATTGCATTTGTTCTTGTATTTGATGATATAAATGTAAAATGTTGGTGTCAGGGCTACCAATTTTGGACACAAACAGACGACAACGGGTACTTCAAGATTAGTGCTGTCAGGCCTGGAAACTATAGCTTGTATGGTTGGGCCCCTGGAATCCTAGGAGATTACAAATACAACATTGACGTTAAAATCAACCCAGGAGATGAAATTAATCTGGGCGGGCTTGTCTTTGATCCTCCAAGAAATGGTCCAACTTTATGGGAAATCGGTATCCCTGATCGAAAGTCTGCAGAATTCTTTGTCCCTGATCCTGTCCCGGAGTTAATGAACTATGCTTTAACAAATCATACTGAAAAGTAAGATCCCCTTCACAGTAAATATGTTTTAATTACAAATTTAAATTCGTTTTACTAAAAGTTACACTTATGAAAATAGGTATAGACAATATGGATTATGGGATCGATACACAGATGCATATCCTTACCAAGATTTGTCCTACACAGTTGGACAAAGTGATTACCAGAAAGACTGGTTCTTTGCTCATGTGAACAGGAAAGTTGGGAATGACACGTATGAACCAACGACATGGACAATCTTGTTCCCTCTCGAGAATGTTAATTGGGCAGGAACCTATACACTGCGGATAGCGTTAGCTTCTTGCAACTTTGCGAAAATTCAGGTTTGGATTAACAGTGATCCTGGTACGAGAATGCCCGGATTCACAACAGGCGGAAATGGAAGGGACAATGCAATTGCGAGGCATGGAAGTCATGGGTTGTATAGTCTGTGGAGCTTTGAGTTTCCAGGAACTATGGTTGGGAATGGAAGAAACACAATATATTTGAGGCAGCCAAGAGGAGGATATCGGTTCAATGGAGCCATGTATGACTACATCCGTTTGGAAGGGCCAAGCTACTGATGAGATATATGGAATCTGTATCTGTATATATATATATATGTGTGTGTGTATACACATTTACACATAGATATAGATAAATGGTTTAGCTTTTAGCTCCCCAAGGGATCAATTGGTTTGTTGTTAATTGGTAGGGAAATTAAATTCTTTGATACTATTGATTGTAATTGAATTATATTATTTCCATATACATAACAAGTTTACGGTAACAAGCATATATTCAATCGTTGCAGTTCTTCAAGTAATCCATTACTTAAACAATAACTAACTATATGTGATCATATTTTCAAATCATACAGAGAAAAAGAGAGAGGAAGAGAGAGCAGTTGAACAGTGGGACCACCTTTTTAATAATAATTGAATCAGTGGGAGCACCTGTTTATCGTATCAAAGTGCCATATATACTTTTCCGTCTTCTGAGATTTTTTTCTTAGTTGCATTTCTTGTCAAGACATACAATGTTCCCGACCTTCCATTGATATAAACATCCCATCTAAAAATATGTGAGACAATGTTCAATTCATAGATAATGGCCATAATATAACTCTGTAACTATATCTATGATATAAAATAGGTGCATAGATAATGGCCATAATATTAAATAAATTTTGCAACAATTATTTTATTCGATAAGAATCGCTCATGAAATCTTCAGGATAGTATATACGATGGGATTTTAGGAGAGATTTAAGAAATTGGATCACTCTTGGACGGTTTGATCTGCCTGGAAAATTATACTATCCACAAGACTACAAAGATCCACATTGTGAAGTGAGCTATTAATAAATATCTATTTTTAATATATTGAAGGTTTATTTTTAAATAATATATTAAAATGAACTTTTAAATAATAAACAGGTAATACATTAAAAATAATCTTCAATATATTAAAAAGGGAATTTCATTTTTGTCCCGTCTAGCAATAGTTCAGAAAATTTAATAACAAAATTAAATGTGATATAAATTACATAATTATATACCTAATTTTAGTGTTTGTTTTCTCATTTTAGTCAAATTACTCTTGCTACATAGATAATGTATGGCACTATGGCAGCTCTAAGCCTCTAAACAACCTATCCATTTGACTATTTGATGAAATTTTCACATATAAAACGAATTAGTTTTTTTTTTTTTTTTTTTTTTTTTTTTTTTTTTTAAAGAGCATTGTACAAAAAAATAGGTGCTCAATATTAGTACTTTATATTAAAATTTTAAATTTATTTATATTTTAGATACTTAAATTATTATAAATAATAATAATAATAATAATAATAATAATAATAATAATAAGGGGAAATGACGAGTTTGGTCCCTGAGTTATAATGGTAGTGATGACTCAGTCCCTGAGTTATAGTACATTTCGTCCCTGACTGTTAAAACTGACGGAAAAATTAAAAAATATTTAAAATTTTAGGGGTAAAGTAGGAAATTTATATTTTATTCACTTTCTTATATTGAAACCACTTTTGCAACATTATTTTCAACTTCCTAGCATTCCATTTCAAGGTTCTTCAATTTCAAAAGCAATTCAATAATCTTCATATGACTCTTGATCATTGTAAACAAGAGAACACTTGATAATTGTCTTCAAGCATGTAAAACGCATCATCCTAAAAGTTTATGATTTCCCTACTAAACATAATGGTAATCAAACCATAACTTCTGAAATACAAGAAGATACCAAATTTCTCTGGTTATTTTTTATGACAAATTCACCAAAGGAGTAACTTGAGATTTTTAGTACGTAAAATTCTTTCATAACCTTTGCAGTAACTTAATCAAGAATCATATATCCTGACAATATATGAAAATTATATATATATATATATATCCATCACCTTCTCTGTCTTCTTAAAAACCAGAGTAATGAATGAGGAACTTAAGACTCAATTATGAAAATTCTAAAAACTTTTGTAACGTCTAAAAATGATTATGGACTAAATTACTGCATATTAAAAAAAATTTACATACTAAAAATCTCAAGTTATTCCATTGGTGAATTTCTCATAAAAGCAACCTGAGAAATTTGACATCATTTTGTATCCCAACAGTCCGGGTTTGATTACCTTTGTTGCTTAGTAAAGAAAATTGAAAATTGATAGTATAGTGTGTTTTACACATCTGAAGACAATGATCAAGTGATTGTGCTAAATCTCAAGTTTGTTATACGAGAACCAAGTTCCTAAAAAGTCATAATAAAGTTATTAAAATGCTTTTAGAATTGAACAATCTTGAAATAAGAGGCTAAGAAGTAAAAAATAATGTTGTGAAAGTGGTTTTAATAAAATGTGAATTTTCTACTTTACGGATTAAATTTTAAATATTTTTTAATTTTTCCGTCAGTCTTAACGGTCGTGGACCAAATACGTCACTTCGATCATAACTGATGGACTAAAAATGGATACGGTCATAACTCTATGACTGAATCGGAACTTGGGAATAACTCAGGGACCAAAGATGCAATTTCCCCTAATAATAATGTAAAATATTTTTATAAATTGATTTTATATTTTAGGAAATAACTAACATATAACTCCAATATACAATGTGTAGATAAAGGCTTGTCTAATAAAGAAACACGTGAGAATATAATTTTTACTTGATTGAAAAGTCAAGCTCCAAATTGCTCTTCCTCGCTAGGTTTTTGGGCTATATTTATAGTTGATTTAAGAGTGTTTCAGTACAACATGTAGTTGGGAGATTGAGTTTTATTTTAAGTTTTAACTGGGTTTATCAGTGTTGTATGGGATTAGGTTTCTTCTATGTAATTACCGGAAGATACATGAGGGGAATTAAGCATGCATGTTTTTAAGGATTTTTTATTTTATTTAAATCTTAATAATTCAGCCAGCCAGTTGAGTTTTAATGGGAGTTTGAAATTTAGTAAATTTAACAGAGAATTAACGAAGAATTATAAAACTAATAATCGATAATATAATTTTTAAAGGAAAAATGAATAATATAATATTGTTGAATATAAATATGAATTTTAATATTGTTGTATTGTATTACGAGGAATTTTAATGTAGAATTGTAGTAGGAATATGAAAGTAGGAAACAATAAGCAAATCTTAATAGTATAGGATTGTTTTGGGCGGGAAGTTAAAATGGAAGATTTTGATTTGAGTTAATACCCAAAATCGTCATCGACTATAGTCGTTTTTCTCAATTTCGTCCTAAACGACCTTGGTGACCTAATTTAGTCCCAGACTTTTATGTTTTTACTCAATTTAGTCATCTGTTTGTTATTACGTCAAATTGGTGTTAAATAAATGGACAATTCAGTAATCTCAATATTGGTATCTCTTTATTCTCAGCCTTGCGAAGTGCAAAATACTTCTTTCTTTTATGAATTACTCCCAGACCAGGGAATCAAATTTTATATTCGCAAGTTTGGGAGTAATTCGTAAAAGAAAGAGGAATTTCACACTTTGCATGTCTAGGAGTAAAGAGATACCAATATTGAGATTACTGAATTGTTCATTTATTTAACACCAATTTGACGTAATAACAAACAGATGACTAAATTGAGTAAAAACATAAAAGTCTGGGACTACATTAGGTCACCAAGGTCGTTTAGGACGAAATTGAGAAAAACCATTATACTCGAGGACCATTTTGGGTATAAACTCATTTTGTTTTTATATATAGTATAGATATAGATTAATACAAAGAATCAATTGGCTCACCTTCGGGATTAGATCTTGTAACCACTCAATTGGAATAGTAACATAAATGTCATCACACTATATAATAGTTGACAGAATAATAAGTTAATAACATACTTCATACGAAGTAAAAAGGATAAATCACCATTTGAACCCTCAATTGTTTCATAACTGTCAATGTAATCCTTATTTTTCAATTACAACTAATTTTATCCTTAAAATGTTTAAAATTTCATCAATTAAACCCTTCGAGGATCAAATTGACGAAGTTTTAAAAATAAAAAAATCATCATTTTGGTCCTTCAGATGGGTTTAATTGACAAAATTTTAACAATTCAAGGATCAAATTAATTTTTTTGAAAGCAATCACGGATCAAATTAGTAGAAATTAAAAATTAAAGATTATATTAACAATTAGGAAATAATTGAGGAATCAAGATGATGATTTTTCAAATTTAAAAAGAGAAACAAATATTTGAATATAATTAAATATATGAATATATAGTTGGCAAAAATAAGACTATCGAAACTTCTAAGTGCACATGTTTTATTTCAAAAAAAAAAAAGTGCACATGTTTTAAATTGGGGTACAACGTAACATTAAAATATCAATTTTCACACGGACGAAACATTGACATAATTTTTTGTACTCCAACGCATCTCGATTCTTTGAACATGGTCAAGCTTATAAACCCACCAACAAGGCCTCCAACTCCTGATTTGTCCTACTACTTTGCATAATTGAATTAAATTATTCGTAAAACTAATTTCAATAATAAAATAAATCACCAAATAATTAAATAATAGGCTTATTTTCGAGAATATTATTTCATTATAAACTATTTTGTAAACCAAACATACTAAAAGAATATTACTACATGTTGTCTATACTAGTTTAACTTACTGATTCAGTAAACAGTATTTGAGAAAAGAATATTATTATATGTTCCTTCAATTTTTACTTGATGTTGAATAAAAATTTAATTTGTTATGACTCGTTGTGAAAGTTTTACTTCATGAAAATCAATCAACCAAATAAATAAATAAATATTATATATATATATATATATATATATATATATATGTATGTATGTATGTATGTATGTATGTATATTTGTGTGTGTGTGAACAACTTTAACAAGTTAGTATTTGTGTGTGTGTGTGACAACAACTTGAAGTTAGTATTGCTTTAAATCATCGATTGTTGATAATCTAGGACCGTTCAAAGAATATTTAAATATAATTAAATATGAATGATCATGGAGAATATAATTAAATATGAATGATCATGGAGAATATAATTAAATATGAATGAGCATGGAGACGTCTGAATGCGAATAGGGCTACAAACATTATAGATTATTTATTAAACGAGTATATAATACTTCCTCCGACCCTAATTGATTGTCTTATTTACTTTTTACATGAATTTTAAAACAACATAACAAATGTTACTCTCTCCGTCTCATTTTATATGTCTGGTTCGATTAACGGGGCTTGATTAAAGTTATTTTTAATCCAGTTTTTCATAATATTAAGTTTAGTATTAGTATGCAAAATTTATATATTTAAAAACTATAGTAAAAGTACTATTAAACACAAAAAATCAAATTTGAAAATAAGTAAAAAAATACTAAAGAAAATAAACAAAGAATAAATAATTGATTTGACCAATGAATAGTAAGTAGGATAGATAAAATGTGACAGATGGAGTATTAACTTTACAATTTTGTCCCTCAACCGTATGTGTTATTTGTGCAGAGTACAAAATTATACTTATATCTAAAAATTTGAAAAGTTAAAAGGATAAATTAAGAAATGTAAAGTGATAGTTATGTTCAATTTTAGAAAGAGACACTATTTTGAAACAAATTAAAAAGAAAGTTGGACATGTAAAAAAAATAGAGTAAATACTCAAAATGGTCCCTCGACTATAGCTAAATTCACAAATTAGTCCTCAACTTTCAATTTCACTCAATTAAGTCCTTAACTTTGCAATTTTGACACGATTTGGTCCTCCATCAAATTGACCGTTTGTTGACCGTGATCGACGATCTCCAGAAGAACCTTCAGCTCTCGTCGAAGCACGTAGAGGCCTCCAGGATGACGTTGCACCGGTTCGGAAACATGTCGTCTTCTTCGCTCTGATACGAATTCAACTACATTGAATCCAAAGGGAGGATGAAGAAAAGTGACCGGGTTTGGTAGATTGCTTTCGACAGTGGATTCAAATGTAACAGTGCGGTCTGGAAATGCAACCGGAACCTTAAAAAATCGACGATGGACCATGAAATTACATATATATCATCAAAAATCACAGTCAACAAACGGTCAAATAAACAGAGGACCAAATTGTGTTAAATTACAAAGTTAAGGACTTAATTAGATGAAATTGAAAGTTGAGGACTAATTTATGAATTTATCCATAGTCAAGGGACCATTTTGAGTATTTACTCAAAAAAATAAGATGGAGAGAGTATCCGTTATTACAATTAAGAACAAAATTTTGACAATTTTTTTTATGTAGTCCGATGCCTGTCGATGCTTTGAACATGGCCAGGCTGTCAACTATAATTTGTCCCACTACTTTGCATAATTATTCACACGTGTTGCATGGTAAATTATTAACAGGTGTCCCCAATTCCAATGAGAAATATAAGAAACAAAACAAGGGAGAGCCCCCACCGCACAATGCATATATGGGTTCAAACCGAACACAATATAACAAATAAATCGAAAGATTCCAATTTCAATTTAGAACTGGAACTTAATATTTAGAGTTTATTAAAATTACGAATCGGAACGTTCGATTCATATTCTGCACTAAAAAAATAAAATATATTAATTGTTGAATTTATATTATTTTAAAAATAAAAAAAAAATAAAATTTTAAAAGAAAGTTTAAATCAATAATTCAATTTGGATCCGAAACCGTGAGCCGACAGTTCAAAAAAAAAAACAAATCGCAGGCATATATGCTTATATGTGAGAATTATAAAAAATGCGAAAAATGACATACGCTATTTGAAAATATTGTAATTTTAATTTTAAACTAATGCTAGTAGTTGTTCCGATTCAAACCGTCGGTTCACAGTTCAAGATCCAATTTTTTCGGGTTCATGATTTTAATAAACTGAAATCCAAATATTGGGTTATTCTTTTGAATCATAACTGAAAACTTTCGATTCGATTGCTATAGTATCCGATCTATTTCGAACCAAATTGTGGTCATCCCTATGTATAAGCAATAATTTGTTGGACAAGAAACATAAATAAAATATTTATTTTAATGGTAGAAATGTCCATTTAATATATTATGTGGAAAAATCACAACTTTTAGAATAATTGAAGGGACTAATATGAATATATGAATAATTTAGGGGAAAATATGCTATAAACATATAATTTAAGAGAAAAAAAGTATCATTTTTTCAATACACAATGACTGTGTTTGACAAACCTAGCTGAAAAGCTATAAGCTAAGAGCTGAAAGCTGAAAAGTTATAAGCTCGGAGCTGAAAACTGAAGAGCTGTTAAGCTATCTGTTATGATTGAAAGTGTTTGGTAAAATTAGTTTTTTGATAAGCTGATAAATGTTAAAAGACTAAAAATGACATCTTCATAAAATTTAAATTAGTTTGTTTATATATTAAAATTTAACATTTTGTATTTAAAAAAAATAACATTTTGAAATAAAACTATTAGCATAATCATGATCTAGCATCTCATAATAAAGTAGCAATATTGTTGCAAATCTCATAATAATAATAATAATAATAATAATAATAATAATAATAATAATAATAATAATAATAATAATAATAATATTTGTGGTGAAAGTTGCAGATAAACGATAAGAGAAAAGTGTTTTAATTGGGAAGGGTAAATTATGTCATTTCTTCAAAATAATAAGGATAAAGATAGAAAAAAAAAGTTAGGAAGCTAGAAGCTTATTTTGGGAACATTACCAAACAAAGCTTATAGCTCATTAGTAGCTTAAAATAAGCTATAAGCTCCTAAATAAGCTCTGCCAAACAGAGCCTATAAGCTTATAGTTCATTAGTAGCTTAAAATAAGCTATAAGCTCCTAAATAAGCTCTGCCAAACAGAGCCTACAATGTTCCCAAAATAAGCTTCTAGCTTAAAACAAGAGCTTATTTTGGAATGCTACCTTAGGTAGCGTTTCAAAATAAGCTCCTACCTTCCTAACTTTTTTTTTTTTTTTTTCATTTTTATCCTTATTATTTTAAAGAAATGACATAATTTACCCTTCCCAATTAAAACCATTTTCTCTTCACCTTTATTCGCAACTTTCACTGCAATTATTATTATTATTATTATTATTATTATTATTATTATTATTATTATTATTATTATGAGATTTGCAACAATATTGCTACTTTATTATGAGATGCTAGATCATGATTATGCTAATAGTTTTATTTCAAAATGTTATTTTTAAAAAAAAATACAAAATGTTAAATTTTAATATATAAACAAACTAATTTAAATTTTATGAAAATGTCCTTTTTAGTCTTTTTACATTTATCAGCTTATCAAAAAGCTAATTTTACCAAACAATTTCAATCATAACAGCTAGCTTAACAGTTCTTTAGTTTTCAGCTCCGAGCTTATAGCTTTTCAGCTTTCAGCTTTCAGCTCCTAGCTTATAGCTTTTCAGCTAGATTTGCCAAACAGAGTCAATGTCATAAATCTACAATATTATTAATTTAGGGATAAATATGCTATAAACATATAATTTAAGAGAAAAAATGTATCATTTTTTCAATACACAATGTCATAAATCTAAAATATTATAAAATATAAAAATTCTAAATTGTTCATATTTTCATAATATATATATATATATATATATATATATATATATATATATATCATTTTAGATTTAACTAAAAATAAGTCGGTAAACTGAAAGATACTAACATTGCCAAATGCCAGTAGCGTGGTATGTGTTGCTACCATCGTCGGCTAAATTTGTGTTGGGAATTGAAAAGACGGTGAAATGTTTTCATTTAGTTTTTCATGTATAAAATGAACTTGAAAGTTGAAACGTGTTTATAATTTTGATGGGATGTTTGGCAGGATAGAATAATTGTGATTTTATTTATTATCAAACTCTATGAGTTGGATGGAATTGTAATCTTAAGATCCTTTTTGAAGTTACAATTCTATCCTACTAAAGTGAGGGATTTCTTTTGCGTGATAAACAAATTTCTAACATAATACACGTAAACTCTTAATATAATACATATAAAAGAATACTCTTAACATTATACACATAAATTATTAACATATACAATAAAGTTTAAACATAAAAAATGAGATCGTTTTAGACAGGACGCAACAATGCACATAATACACCTAAATTGTTAACATAATACACATAAAATCTGAACATAACAAACGACACATAATACACATAAAATATGAACATAACAAACGACGTGGTTTGACAGAAGTGAGCTCTGGTGCACGATAGAATATAAAATGAGACGTGCGGGGCCAGTGGCGTGTATTAAAGTTTTGAGTTGTCGGATTGTCCGAAGTGCATGGAATCGAATACTCGGGAGGCCGCGATGTTCCCATCTCTCAACTCCCAAAGAGGGTTTTAGTCAAAGTTGTGGTGCTACCCAAAGCGAAGCGCTGACGTTGGCCATACTCATCTACCTCACGGGCTGCGTCATCCGCCTCTTTTTTTAAGATCCGCCGGCCGACCTATTTGGAAATTTCCCCTCTAGCCATTAAAAAATCACTGCCGGCCTAATCCCTATATAAACATATGCATTGCCCATCCAATAACCATACAATTCGCTACACATTTTGGTTGAGTTTATAAGACTTCTGAGAAGTTCAATAACTCTTATAGCAAGCAGTAGTTCACAGTCTTTGCAAAAAGGAAAATGGCAGAAACTTCATATGAAACCCAACACCCAGTGAAGGCCTTTGGATGGGCAGCTAGGGAGACCTCTGGAGTTCTTTCTCCGTTTAAGTTTTCCAGAAGGTACGCCATAGATAGATCTATGTGGGTTTGCATATATAGTAAGCTAGCTTCGATATGATAATAATCGAAACCATTGTTGTTGCAGGGAAACGGGCGAAAAGGATGTACAATTCAAGGTATTGTATTGTGGGGTATGCCACTCCGATCTTCACCAGCTCAAGAATGAATGGGGTAACACTACCTATCCCATTGTACCCGGCCACGAAATTGCTGGTGTGGTGACTGAGGTTGGGTGCAAGGTCGAGAAATTTAAGGTTGGAGACAAAGTAGGTGTGGGATGTCTGGTGGGATCCTGTCGCAGTTGCGATAATTGTGCCGATGATCTAGAAAACTACTGCCCTGGGAATATACAAACCTACAACGCTAATGGTGTCATCACTTATGGCGGTTACTCCGACATCATGGTCGCCGACGAGCACTATGTTCTCAGATGGCCGGAAAATCTACCCATGGAGGCTGCTCCATTGCTCTGTGCCGGAATCACAACTTATAGCCCCTTGAGATACTTTGGACTTGACAAGCCCGGAATGAACATCGGAGTTGTCGGTCTAGGCGGCCTTGGCCACATGGCTGTGAAGTTCGCAAAGGCTTTTGGAGCTAAGGTGACAGTGATTAGCACCTCTGTTAGTAAAAAGGAAGAGGCAATTGAACGTCTTGGTGCTGATTCGTTCTTGATCAGCCGTGACCCAGAACAAATGCAGGTAATTAACAATTCTTCATCAATCTTTTTTGGTAACATTATATTTGACGATAAAAATTATTATTCGATCTGTACGTGTTGATGAATTGTTGGTGGCATTTTGAGCAGGCTGCAATGAACTCATTGGACGGTATAATAGACACAGTTTCTGCAGTTCACCCTGTTTTGCCATTACTGTGTTTATTGAAAACTAATGGAAAGCTGGTAATGGTTGGTGCCCCAGAAAAGCCTCTTGATTTGCCGGTGTTTCCTTTGCTCATGGGTAAGCCCATTCTTCTATATCTACTGGTGGCATATAAGACTTATATATATATATATTACATATAAACACAGATCAGAAACCTTAACATACATATCATATATATTTGTTGTACGTAATGGATAACAGGTAGGAAGCTAGTGGCCGGAAGTTGCATTGGTGGAATTAAGGAGACGCAAGAAATGTTAGACTTCTCGGCAAAGCACAACATAACACCAGATGTTGAGATTGTTCCGGTGGATTACGTCAATACTGCCCTGGAACGTCTCGTGAAGGCCGATGTGAAGTATAGATTTGTGTTGGATATCGGCAACACATTAAAATCTGCTTAAATATCAAGTTAAGACACAATATTTTTTTTATGAGGTCATTCCAAAAAGAATATTATGACTTGTGAGCGTTAAAGTGAGTTACAGACATGCAGTATGTGTTTGGTAATAAACTAATAATGTCATATGATGTTGTGATCATATGGTATATGTCGTATGAACTACTTGACAATTTTGTTGGTTTGATGTGCAATAATATAAATTTTATTTAATGAAATGCGTGTATTCTCCGTAATTTCAATAATTGTCTAATATAATAATGTTATAATAATACCATTTGTCTTGATGTTTATAGGAGTGAAAATATTTTGAACTTGTTTGGTAAAATAATTAGCTTATTAATCAATTTTGGTTTGTTTGATTACTATTAGTTATTTGACTTGGTTAAACAATCAATTTAAATGTTTGATTAATTAGCTTTTTGTAACCGTTTATTGCTCTAAAAGGTTAAAATTCAAACAATTACTAAAAGCAGTTTTTTCGATTAGCTTTTTGAGAAAGTCATTTTTATTAGTTAATAGATAATTTGTCAAACATCTTTCTACAATCAGCTAATACTATCAACTAATTAAACTTACTAACCCAATCAACTAACAACTATTTACTAAACACTCCCTTTATAAATAGATTGTTATCCTCATAGCATGTAGAAATAGACCACGAATAGGTACTTACTTTAGCGGCAAATTATACCATTAACTACATACACATCGCAGTTCTGGTATATATATGGATGAGTTCTGGAACGGTAACTTGCTTAGGTGCAAACATGCGGTTTAATATGAGCCGTTGTTCAAATCTAAATCAACAATTCAAATAAAAAAAAAAAGTAAAAAGAGTGCGCATCCTCAATTAAAGAAGCAAACTGTAAAAATGATGCACCTTAAGAAGAAAAACAAAGCATCTTAAGAAGGAAACACGCTTTAAGTAGGAAAATCTCGCACCTAAATTTTAAACCGATGCATTTTAAGAAGAAAAACAACGCACCTTAAGCTTTAGGCTGACGCACCTTAAGTTTCAACAACTGACACAACTTAAGCACACAATACATAAAACAAAGCACAAAAATCACGCACCTTAAATTTGACCTAGGTACAAAAAGACCAAATTGTCACTGCGTTTTCTTAATCCTTGTTAATCCTGGACGTTGATCTTAGCAAGATCAATCCTGAGCACCACCATCTGCATATATATATATATATATATATATATATATATATATATATATATATATATATATATATCCACATTCTCACCATCCATCTTGAGAAATCAAAGACTAGGATCTTATCATTATTAAAATTTCCAGTTTTGCAATAATTATAAAAGGAACCCCATGCCTAAATTTTTTAATAATTATAAAATTGACCTGGAGTTAATTTTTTTTTTTTTTTTACTAAATCCTCAATCATTGATAAACCTTGTGTGTGTGCTCAAATGAAAACACTCATGTAAAAAAGTGATGACTTATTTAGACCGCCCATCATTGTTCATCAATGGTTTAGGTTTCAGTAAAAAATACGGGATAATTTTATAATTATTACAAACTTTTAATTTTTCAATATGTATAAAAATGACTCTGTTTTTTCTTTTTTTTAAATAGGCTCTGTCTCTTTTCTATTTTTTTTTTATAGCAATTCCAAACTCTTGATTTACCCAAATAAATGGATCATATTAGTCATCACTTTTTACATGTAAAAATATTTTAAACCTCAATATTTTTATTTTTTATTTAAAAAGATTTGGAGATCGAAATTTACCATTTTTAATTGTTTTATTTATTTATTTATTTATTTTTTTTTAAAAAAAAAAACCAAAGCGGGCTTACACGCTAACTCACAAATTACAGGCGGAGCAAAATGGGCCAGGCGACTAGTGGCCCCTTCACCGAGCCACAAGCTTTAGCGGACTTCAGTTTGGTGTCCTGTTTTGAGAGGTCTAGTACCAACAAATTCATGATGTTATATATTTTCTAGAAAAAAGAAAAATCCTAAATGAAATAAAATTACTAAAGTCAAAGACTTTTTGGTCAAACTACATAATTGTGGCTCTCTCAAACGGGAGGTCACAGATTCGAATTCCAATTGGGCATTGACTCTTTAGGTTTAAAAAATGGAGCAAATTATCAAAATGGTCCTTCAACTACGTCGATTTCACCAATTTCGTCCTACTCATTTTGATTTGGCTAATTCTATCCTTCGACTATCAAAATTTTAATCGTTTTAGTCTTTTGTTGACTTAGATGGCAAACTTCTGACGAGTGTAAGGGTAAGTGAGTAATTTCAATATATTTCATGCTTTTTCTTTCACCATAACGTTCAATTTGTTAAAATCCCCAAAATGTGGTCAAACTAACTCCTAAAAGTCGAATGTGCATTCTACTGTCGACCAGAACTCTAACCCTTTACACGAGAAGCATTCTTTGTCTCCGATTCTGCAAACTATTCTCCAATTACAGATGGAAGAACACCTCATTGCAAAAGGAGAAACTATGCCAGATCCATGGAGTTTCGCCTTGTAGCACCGCTCAAATAAACGCCTATTGATTTGACTAAAAATCCTTGACTTTACGAAAGTACAAGGAGCAGAAGAGGTCGTCTGCAATTCAATCGTAAAAATCCCAGAAATCCTCAAAGCTTCCTCTCATCTCCACCACTCACCACCGCGTGCCACCGCAGCAACCACCGTTGTGGACCCTTTACGTCTACCTCTCATTTGTTTCAACTCCAAATCCAATTGCAGCTTCAAAGCTTGGATCCATCTTCTCCTCACCTCATGAATGAGCTCTCCTAGGTACTCAACGACTTCAGAAGTCTGCACCCTGATATAGAGGCGGCTCTCAGTCAATTCCACTCCCAAATATCCGTCATTGTGGTTGAACATGTGCTCAAGCGGTGTAGGAATCTGGGGTTTTCCGCTCACAGATTCTTTCTCTGGACTCAAGGGCTACTGGGTTTTCGACATAGTTTTTTCCTACTCCAAGCTTCCTCGGTTGTCTTATCACGGACACTCTTAGTTGGACATCTATTCAAAACATAAACAGCACAAACAACAACTTCTGCCCAAAAAGGCTTAGGCAGATTCTTAGATTTCAACAAGCACCTCACCATATCCATGATAAACCTATTCTTCCTCTCAGCCACCCAGTTTTGTTGTGGAGTGTATCTAGTTGTCATTTGGTGCTAAATACCTATCTCCTTCAGAAAATCATCACAAGTAATATATTCTGTACCTCTATCAGTTCTCAAGATTTTAATTTCATAACCACTCTACTTTTCAACAAAAGCCTTAAATTGTTTGAAAACATCACATGCATCAGATTTGTGCTTCAGAAAGTAAACCCATGTTTTCCTACTGAAATCATCAATGAAAGTAACAAAGTACTTACAACTTCCATGTGAGGGAACCTCCAACGAACACATGTCTGAGTGAACAATCTCCAACTGTTTTGTGGCTCTCCTTGACTTGTCCAGCGGGAAGGGATCTCTATGCTTTTTCTCAATCACACAGATCTCACATATACGATCAGGGACATTCACAACAGGTAAATCAGAAACAAGTTCCTTTCTTGCTAGATAGTTTAATCCAGAGAAATGGAAATGCCCAAACCGCATATGCCATAACCAATTATCATCACAAATTTCAAAATTAAAACAAGCAAGAAGTGCATGATTGATTGTCAAAGGAAATAGTTGATTTTGGGACATATTTACCTTTGCAATCAAAACTCCCTTAACATCTGCAATGGTACAACACCCTGAGTAATATTTATCTTATATCATTTTTCTGAAAACTGTCCCATACTCAACAAATTTTGATGTAGTTCAGGAACATCGAACACATCGGATATAAAATTGTGAGTACCATCCTTTAATTGAATAGAGATTTTATATTTTCTCAAAATTGGCACTTTTGACTTATTGACAAATGTCACTTCAGACCGGATTGATTCATCTAGTTCAGGAAAAAAATCTTTCTTCCAACACATAAGGTTACTACACGCAGTATCCAAGAACCATATGTTTTTATCTGCAGAGAAACTATCACTGGCCAAAAGTGAGGTTTCAGAACTCTAACCAGACTTTTTAGCAATGTTTGCTTGATTTCCACGATTGTTGTGTTCATTATACCAACAATCTGCAATCGTGTGCCCATACTTGCCACAATTGTAGCAATGAAATGGAAATTTACCTTGTTTGGTATTACCTCCACCTCTTCCTTGGTTGGAGTTACCACGTTCTCCTCCACTAAATCCCCATCTTCCTCTTCCACGACCTCTACCAGATCCTTCACCTCGTTGATTAGTGCCAGTCATATTAAGGGTGACTTGGCTCTTCAAAGCTTCTTATGCTAGTAGTTCCGATTTTGACGCAATCCTGTCAATATGACTTTCTACCATACCTTTCAACTCTGCAATTGATAAGAGCTCGGTATTGTGTGACTCTATCATTAAAGCTACCACATGGTCATACTTCATCGGCATAGTTCGAAGAACTTTTTCAACCACCACACCATCTTCAATCGTATCTCCATATAAGCTCATATTATTTACCATATCAATAAGACGAGTGAAATACGTATCTACTAATTTTGTAATGGTCATCTCACAATTATCATACAACCTTCTACAACTTAGACTTCTGTGCCCGATCGACTCCTTTATGTGACACTTTTAAGATGTCTCAAGCTTGCTTTGCTGTTTGAGCACGAGCTAATTGTCCAAAACAGTAATGAACACCTTGGTGAATCTGTCTCAATGCCAATTGACCTCGCCGTATAGCGGCTGGATCAGCTCCTTCAGGTAGATCGGGATCAACAAAGCTCCAAAGATTTTGAAGTTTTAAATATGTGGTCATCATAATTTGTCAATAATTATAATCGAGTTTCTCATCCAATCTGGGGCCCGACCATACAATATTAAAATTTGCTGCCATATTTCACTACGAGAAATATTTCGGGGTCGAAAGGTTAATCGGCTCTGTAATTTCTGTATTCGTGTTGTATATTGCGACTAGATAATATTTCAAAATGATTCTGTTTGAGTGATTGACTTAGCACTGTCGTAGATCAGTCAATAGATTAGTGAATAGTCTTGGTGTGAAAATTAAATCAAACAAAAGTAAAAGACACAAAATATTATTTACCCAGTTTGATACAACAGTATCTACGTCTGGGGGACCACCATCAGTGAGTCCAATCCACTATTTCAACT